GGACAGACATACTTTATCCACTGAACAAAGCTGCTGGGAAAAGGTCTTTGTCCTAGGAGTTTCTATCCAAAATTATGTTATATAATGTGGCTCAGAAGACATAATCCACTTGACTTTTAATAATCTGGCAATTCATATAGGTGCTATGCCTCATTGGAGGTTCAAAGTGCTAATATTGCACAAACGACATCTTCAATATTCAAGGGCTCAGAAGACAAGTTATTAAACTCAGAGTGTAGTTTATGTATTTGAGACGTAAAATATACATCTGTGTATTCCATGGACATGTATCAGCTCTATGTGAGGCAGTGTGCTACGTAATGTGATACAAAGATGGATAAGACCAAAATCCAAGGGCCCTTTACAGAGGTGAAGGCTGTGCCTGCACCTTTAACCCTGGCTCTTGTGACTCCCTTCTTTATCTGGCAATACCACACATGCCTAGATCATGCCACATGAACAGAATGTGGTTGTTGATGTGTCTTTCCCTCTAAATCACAAGTCTTGTACACAATACCTGGGGAATGAAATAAATAATAATAGTAAAACCAAAACCAAAACCAAAATCAAAGTTCCTAAATTCAAATCGCTTATGCATTTTGGGGAAGATGGAAAGAAGGCAGGTAGAGGCAAGCATTGTAAAGAGAAGTTTTATACAAAGGAGTAAAGACTTTTGCATCTGCTGTTCAGTTTGCTAAGCCACTCCCTACAAGAACAGGCAGATCTTCACAAGAGGTTTGGAGAGGTCAAAGGGAATGACACAGTGGTTTCAGAGACTCACTGTCAACTCAGACCATGCACAGGTCACCAAGAATCTTCAGGAGGAACAGAAAGATCTGGATCTTGGTGGGACTGCAGACAAATCAAGTGCTCTTGCTTACAGCCATTTCTTTTGCTAGGTCACTGTCCCCACAGAGTTAGTGCGCTCAGCATAGATGGTGTATAAGAAACGGCAATTTACACTAAAAGTGCCATTTTAGTGAACGTTAAGGCCAAGATTTTTGGTTGGTAAAGTACATCAGAACCAACACATGTAGGAACTACCCTGTGCAGGAATATCCACTGGTATGAGACCTTGTTTCTGCAGAGAGAAGGTCTGGGAAGACAAGGCAGTTGTTCACACCACAATTACCATGAGGGGAAATGCATTAAGAGCCAAGGAAGCCAAACAGAGACAAGCATAAAGTGTCAGGAAGGAAATGCCACTCCTGCGTCGAGTGGTTGTGAAGGTTTACTGACAAAGTTGTGATTTCAGAAGGTTGCTTACTTAAGTATTTTGCAATTCTGAGGTCAAATTCAGAATTTTAGGATAAAATTTCCTCAAGAAAGAGGAAGAAGATAACAAAGAAATCTCAAACATGAATAGAAGACCAGTTGGCTAGAGCAGGCTTCCACAGGACAGCTTGTCCTTAGATGCAAAAGGTGGTTGCAGGCAGGTTACCACACAGGGTGGAGGCTCTGCCTCATATGGGAAGGGACACTGCAACCCGCTACTCTGTACTATAGCTGGTAAGAGCCTGAGACGACACCAAAGGGTGCCCTGTCCTGCTGCTGAGTCCCAATTCCCATCTCAGCTGTGCTATCAGACTGGTCAAATGAACAGCAGATCTGTTCCAGACCCTAACACGTGGGTTCTGATTTCTCGGCTGGGGAACATGTACGAACACAAGAGAAGCTGCGAAGGAAGAGCATAGACATTCTAAGTGGCTCTAATTGCTCCTGTTTTTATTGTGTGGGAGGAAAAAAGATGTCAGAAGGAACGTTAATCAGCAAGATAGAAAAGCAATTCAAGGCTCTCCTTGTAATAGCTCCAAGAGCTCAGGCACGGTGAAGACAGTCTTTCCTTAGATCATGAGGCACCAGGAGGTGAGTTTTTGATGTCAAGCTGGCATGAAGACTTTAGGCTATCATTAAACCTAGGAAGGCAGAGACTACTGAGCAGAACTCAAGACAAGACAGTCATTCTAATATTAAAATAAGGATTAAAAAAAACTAAGTTTTAAAAAAACATGAATTTTTTTAACATTTGGTGTGAAACGTGTTTAATAAATCTCTTTAAAAAAACTTTTTACAGCTAGATTTATAATACTATTCTAAGAACACTATATTAAGCAAATTTTTATATTTTAAAGGAAAGAATAAGAAAAACAATTATCATTTAGCTTTCAGATAAATGATTTATCTGGTTATTGAGGTAATGCAAAACATATTGCCACCTTGTAGCAACATTATCTAACATCTTGGTGGGAAATAGAAATATAAAACAGGTGAGAAGAAAAAGGGCGAAGGGGAAAAACACTAGGAGGTACTCTTCACACAGGCATTGTTGCTTGGTGATTTTACATTTGTTATCTCACTACACGACCTTGAAACAATTTCACATAAAGACTTTACAAATTAGAAATCCAAGGTTCAAAGAAATTAAATAAAGAAAGAAAAGAGCTCAGATCCTCTGACCCCTGCCAGCTTCTCCAGCATTTGTTAAACATGTGCTGAAGGACATGGCCTTGGCCTGGGAAGGACAGAAATTAGTCACAACAGAGTTGCAATGCACTGAGTCTACAGAGTCAGGTGCCTGAGACTCTGGCTCTAAATTCATTTCACTGTTAAAAAAACAAACAAACACACACACACACACATGCACACACACCCCTCAAACCTAATTAATTTTGGCTTTAAAACTTTATAGCTCTACTTTTGTTCCAATTAAAAGACAGAGGAAAAAAAGTGAGACATTTTGTCCTGAATTTCCTATTGACCAATTTTAAATCCTTAAAAAAAATAAAAGTTCTCCTCAAATACTTATGTGAACCTCCTAAATATTTAGAGTAACATCAACAACAAAAGTAAATTGAAAACCCAGGTGAAACAAACCTGTCTTTTCCAGACTAAGAACCACAGAACTACTAAGATGTAGTTCTGAGATAACATTTCTATGAAGTTGTAAATTATGAACAGGACCACAGCGCAATCTCCTCCCTTGCCTGAGCACTGTGGGATGCAGACATTTAAATCAAGGAAGGACAGAATTTGTTCTGCTTCTCCTGTGACTATTTTTAGAAGATTTGATATAAAAATTAATCATAAATGCCCTTATATTTTAGACTGAATAAGACATGTACCACATAAGAACCAGCAAGCTGCTACAACTGCTGGCACTGAGTGAGTGTTTTCTTTTAAGCCAGACAGAATCTCACTGGCTTTACTTTCTGTTTTGTATCAGTGTTGCTACTTGAATTACTTCAAAGTGAGAAGGTGCATCTGCTGTCCCACGTCACTCAAGCAAAAAATGTATGGCTTCTTCTTGTTGTTTGTTTCCTATAAACTGTCATATTATATATATGAAGCCTGCCCTTAAGATTCACATCCAAACTGAATTTTATAATTGCTGGAGTAGTCAATTTTATGTTCATCTTAACTTTATAAATGGTCATGGAAGATACTGTTTCATGAAGATACTGTTTCAGACAGAACTTAAATGTAAGTGCACGCCAACTGCTTTTCAAGCTACTTTCCACATGGCTCCCAAACCCAGTGTTGTTGAAAAACTTAATTAATAAGAAGGAGAATAAAATTCCATAATTCATAACATAAAAACATGAGTAGATGCGAGACTGATTTTGGATGTTTCTATTAGCTACACTGCATGATACATGAAAGTCAACTCTACATAGAAATTTACCTATGGTACCACTTATGATCTGTGACATGTAAATCTCTTTAGTTTTTACAGAAAATGGGTAAAAACAGCAAACAAAATAGGATGTACAGTCCCAGCCTACTGGATTATTCAGAATAGAAAAAAGAATCTATAATATCTTCCTTAAAAAATGCTAACTTTGCAGTATGACTCCACCAGTGGTATTCACATGCTATTTCTGTGTGAGGTATATAGTATGTCTTTTTTTTTTTTTTAAGAGAAAAGAGAGAAGAGAGAAGAGAGAGAGAGAATTTTTTTAATATTTACTTTTCAGTTTTCGGTGGACCCGACATCTTTATTTTATTTTTATGTGGTGCTGAGGATCAAACCCAGCGCCCCGCGCATGCCAGGTGAGTGCGTTACTGCTTGAGCCACATCCCCAGCCCAACAGTATGTCCTTTTGTTAAGAATTCAGTAGAAGCTGAACATGGTGACGTATGCCTGCAATCCCAGCTACCTGAGAGGCTGAGGCAGGAGGATCACAAGTTTGAGGATGGCCTTAGTAACTCAGTAAGACACTGTCTCAAAATAAAATAAAAATGGATGGGGAAGTAGCTCAGTGATAGAGCATTTGCCTATCATGTGCAAAACCCTGGGTTCAATCCCCAGTAGGTTGTACTATCATTCCCATTTGACAGGTTAAAATAAATAAATAATAAAAGTTCAATGAAACATGACTGGTTGGAAATAGCTGTTACTGAGAAGTTGACAGGAGAGTCGGCTTCCACTCAGGGTTCTTCCCACTATCTCACGTTACTTATCTCAAGACTACACTTTGAGAAATCACAGGAGTCAGATTAAAAAAACTTAATAGCCAAGTGCGGTGGCGCATGCCTGTAATCCCAGTGGCCCTGGAGGCTGAGGCAGGAGGGAGGATCACGAGTTCAAAGCCAGCCTCAGCAAAAAAGCAAGACGCTAAGCAACTCAATGACACCCTGTCTCTAAATAAAATGCAAAAAAAGGGCAGGGGATGTGGCTCAGTGGTTAAGTGCCCCTGGGTTCAATCCCAGGTACCAAAAAAAAACCCCAAAACAAAACCATAATAACTGTGCTACAATACAGGCCAGGTGAAGCACAATGTAACTTAGTTTTCCTGTTCAAAGATTCCTTAGCACAACGTCATCTAAAGCAGTCATTAGCAAGCAACTTCATTTGCTTCATGGTCCCAAGCCACTGCTTCCCTCTCACCATTTCTTCCCCAGTGCTGGGGGACAAACTTGGCCTCTTCCATTAGAAGCACATGGTTTGTCACCGGGCTATAGTCCCAACCACAAAGGTACTTTGAAAGAAGTTATCTTACCTCTGCTCCTGAGTATGTATGGGTTTGCAGGATGAGTTCATCCAAGTCAACCTCATTACTGATTGGCATAGTGTGAAACTGCAGGTTGAATATTTCCCTTCTTGTTGCTGCATCTGGTAAAGGCACATAGATGATTCTATCAATTCGTCCAGGCCGCATTAAAGCCTAGAGAGAAGGGAGAGCAGTAAAGATTAACTAGCTCAGAACCCACATTCCACATCAAGGCATCCGGGAAAGGGTATGCCCAGCATCTCATGAATAACCCATTGTTATCCAGAACTGGCAAATAACACAAGCACTAGGGATACTAATAATCTATTTCAAATTTACAAATAATGTCTGGAGCATTCCTGAAAATAGAAAAATCAGTATTTCTGGAAGGCTTTCTGTTTCTTATCAATTGTTAGTGAGTAAAAAGTCACTCTCTTAGAAAAGTGGCATATGTTTTGCATTCATTATATCAAAAGGAATTTTTCATAACTTCCTTTAGTAACTCCCCCCCTTCAGTACCAGAAATTAAACACAGAGGTGCTCTACCATTGAGTTATATCCCTTTTTCATTTTTTAAAAATCTGAGACAAGAGTCTAACTAAGTCACCCAAGCTGGTCTCAAAATAGCAATCCTCCTGCTTCAGCTTCCTGAGTAGTTGGGATTATAAGTGTGTGGGACAATAACTGGCTCATTCAATAACTATTTTTTTTTGGAGGGGGGGCAGTGCTAGGTATTGAACTCAGGGGTGCTTTACCACTGAGCTACATTCTCGGTCCTTTGTATTTTTTATTTTAAAGCCACTGCACCAGATGTCTTCAATAACTCTTAAATATGCACAAGCTGTTAGCTAATTCAGTAATACAAATAGCACAGCTCTGATAGAAGAATGCCTAGAGTTGAATCTGCCAATTGAACTTTCCTGACATTTCACTGGAGACTAATGCCTCAATAACCTTATGAATAATGAACTTACTTATTCGGAAGAATTTACTGAGCATGTGTTACTCACCAAACAGTTCTGATAGTAGAAAAAAGTATGAATAAGATAGATAAGATAAATTGTGGGAATGGTTACACATATCTATGACTATATTAAAAACCAATGAGGGACATATTTTAAATGAATTGATTTTGTGGTATTTATTTATTTACTGGGGATTATTTTTTATTTTGAGACAGGGCCTTGCTAAGGTGCTGAAGCTGGCCTTGAACTTGTGATCCTCCTGCCTCAGCCTCCTGAGCTGATGGGATTACATAGATGTGTGCTATTCTCACCAAGCTATAGTTTGTGATTTATATCTCAGTGAAGCTGGTAAAAAAAGAGAAATGGGTTGGAAAGGGGTGTATGTGTGTGGTATGTGCATCCATCCCTTGAGGGAGTGGGTAGCTTTAGTTGGAGAAGAGAGTCTTTCTGAGGCAGAAAGGAGTTAACCATACGAGGATCTACTGGAAAGTATTCAAGGTAGAAGGAACATCATGTGCTAAGGCAAGAATAACTGGCATGTTTTATGGAAAGAAAAAAAAACATGGCATAATGAATACTAAGAAGAGAGGCAGGAATTGAGGTCAGAAAGTGTTATGAGTAGCTCTTAAGGCCCAATAGTTAGTATAAAAAGGAAGCCATGGGGCTGGGGCTGGGGCTCAGCGGTAGCACACTTGCCTGGCATGTGTGAGGCACTGGGTTCGATTCTCAGCACCATGTATAAATAAAATAAAGGTGAAGCAACAAATATCTATATTTGTAGGTGTGTATATGTGTATGTGTGTATTTATAGTTTTATATAAAAAAGGAAGCTACCAGAAAGCTTTAGGTAGAAAAGTGAAAGGATACAACTTATATTCAAAGGTTGTTCTGGTGAAAGAATATCAAAATTAATCTATATGTATAATTCTAGAACAGCACACCCAACAACCTCAGGACATACGTTCCTTTCAAGGGCACTTGGTAAATTCACCAAGATAACCCATATTATGACCCTTGGCACTTGATGTTCCTTCTACCTTGGACGCTTTCCAGCAGATCCTTGGGTGGTTAACTCCTTGGGGTATCTGCCTAAGTTTCTCCGCAGAAAGACTCTCTTCTCCAACTAAAGCTGTCCATTCCTCAAATGTTTTGAAAAATTGAACTGAATTCATTAAACCACTGAACTGGCTATGCCGACTTTCCCATCAAGAACCTCTAAGTCCAGGTACTTTCACTTCTGAATTTAACACTGAAATCCTATAACCACTTCAGAACACTGAGAAGAGAATACTTCTCAGTTGTTTTATAAGGTTAGTATATTAACTCCAAAACCTGGCAAAGATATTGCAAAAGCTGAAAATTACAGATGAATGATTCTTGGGATAATATAGATTACAAAACCTTTTAAAAAAACTGGCAAAATAATCTAACAATATTTTAAAAATCCTCTTTAAAAGATTCACTCACAATGAAAAGTTCTCAGCAAACTATGGGTAGAAGGGGACTTCTTTAATATAGTAAGTGGTATCTATTGAAAAACCTATAGCTAGCACATATTTAATGTTGAAATATTCAACTTTATTTTTTTAACATCAGATCAAGAAATTCTAATAGATGTACCAGATTTGGCAATCAGAAAAAAAGAGCGAGGGATATAAAACATGGAGTGTGAAAAAGTAATATTCTTCATTTGTAGGAAAACACTGTTCATATAGAAATCCTAAGGAATCAATAAATGACTACTAGCAAGACCACATGATACAAGCATAATATTTTAATCAACTGTTTGTTTGATCAATTTTATGGAAATACATTAATAAGAGTAAAACAAACAACTTGGGAATAAAATTAACCAAAGAATTCTCTTCTAAAAAATATGAAACACTCTTCAGAGAAAGTAAAGACAACCTAAATGGAGAAATACACCATGTTCATGGAGTGGGATGCTCAACAGCAAGAGATGAAGTCTCCTCAAATTTATCTATAGATTTAAAAGAAATGTGGCAAGCTTACTACTATGACTATCAATAGTGAGCATAACTTGTGAAAGGACAAAGTTGAAGGACTCACACTATTTGACTTCAAAATTTCTAATGCTAGAGACAAGACTGTGCGAACAGTATCCTGAGAATAAAATCACAGGTAATTAAAAAATACAGAAATCCATACTGATTTTGATTTTTTAAGCACGCAATAACTGTTTTAGAAAACGATACCAGAAAGAAAAAAGTTAGCTGTGACATTACACTCATACTACATTAAAAATTAACCCAAAATGGTTCATAAATCTCAATGAATTAAGCACTAAAACTATAGTTTTTATAAAGAAAAAAAATCATCTTATTATTATTAAATAATTTAAAAAAACCTAACAGAAAGTAGGCAAAAAATGTGAATGAATACCTCAGAAAGGAAGCTATTATTGGTTGGCAAGTAAACACATGAAAATATATTCAACATAATTAGCCACTGGATCAATGCAAATTTGAATCATAGTGAAATATCACTATTACCATAAGAATAACTTAAATTAATGACACTGGTAATACCAAAGATTAATCTAGAATATGGGCCAACTAGAACTTTTATACGTGGCTAATGGGAATATAAAACAGTATAACCACTTTGAAAAACTATTTACAGTTTCTTAAAAAGGGAAACATACCCGACCATAATGACTGAAGTATTCCATTCCTGGATATTTATCTGAGAGGATCAAATACCTATATCCATACAAACTTGTACATGGGTGTTCATAACAGCCTTATAACAGTAGCTGAAAACTGTCAACAATTCAATGTCTAATTTATAGGTGTACACACAAAATATATAATGGAATATTATTAAAACAATAAAAAGGAACAAAATATTGAAACAATAATATGTAAATCTTAAAAATCACTGTCTGGAATAAAAAAAACCTGACATAAAAGAGCACAAACTATATAATAATTACACTTACATAAAATATTAAGAAAAACTAACACACTCTGTACTAACAAAAAAAGAACAGTAGTCACTGACTGAAGCCTGGGAGAAGCACAGAGATAGCCTGCACTAGGGCAAAAGCAATCTTTTGGGGGTGTTAGAAAGGGTCATACTTTGATTGCAGAGGTAGTTTCACAGGTTTACATTTGTTTAAATTAGATGAACTGTGTTGGCACACACCTGTAACCCAGCATCTCCAGAAGCTGAGACAGGAGGATCACAAGTTCAAGGGCAACCTAAGGAAACCCTGTCTCAGAAAACAAAGTGTGGTGCGGGGGTGGGGGGGGGCAGTGGTGGGGGCACGGTGGCACATGCCTGTAATCCCAGTGGCTTGGGAGGCTGAGACAGGAGGATCATGAGTTTAAAGCCAGCCTTAGCAAAAGCGAGGCACTAAGCAACTCAGTGAGACCCTGTCTCTAAATAAAATACAAAATAGGGCCGGGGATGTGGCTCAGAGATCAAGTGCCCCTGAGTTCAATCCCCAGCATGCACCCACCAAAAAAAAAAAAAAAGTGAGGGGATGCTGGGGGTGTAGTTCAGTGGTAGAGAACCCGGGGATCAATCCTCAGTACCGAAAAAAACCCCAAACAAATTGAATCCTGCACATGAATTGATGTAATTTATTATATGCAAATTATAATTAAACAATGTTGATTTAAAAAAGTAAAAAGTCTTACATTTGTTAGATTCTCAATATTTACAAATCAATAAATTTAATGGCAGATTACTTATTCAACAAATTGTAACATCAATTTCTATGATTTTTCCATGAATATAGGACAGTCATTTCAATCCAATAACCAAACCTGTTTTTGTTTCACATGATAATGCCTAGAGTTCTAAACAGATTGCTAGGACTCAGGGTTTAACTACCTTCCTATATCATATCAGTGTTTCACAAACTATTCCAATGAGTGTTAACAGGTGCAATGAGAAAAGGGTTTTCTAGTTGAACAAGTTTGGGAAACATTGCGTAGAAATAAAATTAAAGGTTTATGTAAATTTCTGTATGCAGGACTTTTTCTAGCCTATTGCATACTAAAAATCTCCAAAAAAGGCTATAGTGGCATGTAGGAATTTGACCTCAAATTCTTAATTTTTAATCATAGAACATCTCAAAAGCTGATATTTCATTTCCACTTTGGAAAATGCTATTTTCAAAACATCTGGAATACAGAATATATAAAAGACTTTCTTTTCACATGGTATCTCATTTAATAT